CAAATTGGGCACAAAGTGCCAATATTTTGTGTGGCCACCATTATTTTCCAGCACTGCCTTAACCCTCTTGGGCATAGAGTTCACCAGAACTTCACAGGTTGCCACTCAAGACCTTTTCCACACCTCCATGATGACATCACAGAGCTGGTGGATGTTAGAGACCTTGTGCGCCTCCACCTTCCGTTTCAGGATGCCCCACAGATGCTCAATAGGGTTTAGGTCTGGAGACATGCTTGGCCAATCCATCACCTTCACCCTCAGCTTCTTTAGCAAGGCAGTGGTCATTTTGGAGCTGTGTTTGGGGTCATTATCATGTTGGAATACTGCCCTGCAGCCCAATATCCGAAGAGAGGGGATCATGCTCTGCTTCAGTACGTCACAGTACATGTTGGCATACATGGTTCCCTCAATGAGCTGTAGCTCCCCAGCGCTGGGGAGCTCATGCAGTCCTAGACTATGAAACTCCCACCACCACGTTTGACTGTAGGCACGACACACTTGTTTTTGTCCTCCTCACCTGGTTGCCCCCACATACGCTTGACACCATCTGATCCAAATAAGTTTATCTTGGTCTCATCGGACCACAGGACATGATTCCAGAAATCCATGTCTTTAGTCTGCTTGTCTGCAGCAAACCGTATGCGGGCTTTCTTGTGCATTATCTTTAGAAGAGGCTTCCTCCTGGGACGACAGCCCTGGAGACCAATTTGATGCAGTGTGCGGTGTATGGTCTGAACACTGACAAGCTGACCCCCCCCCGCCCCTTCAACCTCTGCAGCAATGCTGGCAGCACTCATACATCTATTTCCTAAAGCCAACCTCTGGATATGATGCTGAGCACGGGCACTCAACTTCTTTGGTAGACCATGGCGAGGCCTGTTCTGAGTGGAACCTGTCTTGTTAAACCGCTGTATGGTCTTGGCCACCGTGCTGCAGCTCAGGTTCAGGGGTTTGGAAATCTGCTTATAGCCTAGGCCATCTTTATGAGAGCAACAATTCATTTTTTTTAGAAGCTCAGATAATTCATTGCCATGAGGTGCCATGTGGAACTTCCCGTGACCAGTCTGAGAGAGTGAGAGTGAGAACACTTGCTTCCCCTTCACACCTGAGACTTGTGACACTAACGGGTCTCATGACACCAGGGAGGGAAAAAGGCTACTTGGGCCCAATTTGGACATTGTCACTTAGGGGTGTACGCACTTTTGTTGCCAGTGGTTTAGACATTAATGGCTGTGTGTTGCGTTATTTGGAGGGGAGAGCACATTTACACAAGCTGTATACTCACCGCTTTACATTGTAGCGAAGTGTCATTTCTTCAGTGTCATCACATGAAAAGATATACCAAAATATTTATGAAATGTGAGGGGCATACTCAATTCTGTGATATACTGTAAGTAAGTAAGTATCTAGAAGGCCCTGGGAGGGTTGCCGTAAGTTAGAATCGAATTGATGGTACATAGCAATTATCATGAAGTAGGAATAATAATTTCTATGATGTCTTCATACCTACGGAGCTAGAATCTTAACTGGTTGTTAAGATTCATTCCTTCTGTGGTCATTATCTTAAAGTCCCAGAGATTTCTTATATCTGAAACTAAATGTCTTGGGCCAGATCACTAAGCTTGTCAGATCATCTTTCCCTAAAAGCATCAATTTGTGCCACCCAGTCCTCTCAGTCCTCTCTCCTGTGGGTTCCCACACTGAAGGAGGCCAGGAAGTCAGCAACTAGAAACGGGGGCTTCTCAGTTGTGGCCCCATCCCTATGGAATGGGCTCCCAGTGAAGTTACGCCTGGTCCTTTCCCTCACAACCTTCATGAGGATGCTCAAGACAAGGCTGTTTTCGGAAGCCTTTGAAAGAAATCTCTCTGAACACAATACGGACTGACCATTTTTATGTTGCTTGTTCACCATCCCTCAGTTTTCTATTGATTTCTTGATGGCGGCTTTATTTGATTACAAGTGCTGTTTGATTTTTTTTATTTATTTTTATTTTTATTTTGCTGTATCTAAGATTTATTTTATGCTATTTTTCTCTGGATGTAAACTGCCCAGAGCAGTGTTTACCACTAATTGGTGTGGGTTTACAAGTTAAATAAATAAAGCCAAGTCTTCCATCTTGCGGTAACTCTACTAATCCTTTTCCCAGAAATCTGATAATAAATGCATAACAACACATATTACAGTACACTACTTATCTGCCTACCAAACAAGGTGGAGGAGCAGGTGAACCTGATTCTACATCTAGATGATGAAAAAAGCAACAGAAATATGGTAAGGGAAGTGGGATACATAACTTAATAATTCCTTGACAATCAAGAAAATTTGATTTTAGAGAGTGTGAGGCACCTGTGTTGCTGAATTCCAAGCAGAGCTTTCATGGGGACAAAGAGCAGGAAAGGGCACCCCCAAGTTTACAATGATGGGAACAAAACAACAGATAACTGGGAATGTCACAATACTTAATTAGCACTTTGCTCTTATTTCAGTAAAGATGATATGGTGAGCATCAAAGATGAAGTGATAGCTGATGCAAAAAAAAAAAAACACCTTGAAGAACAGGAAGTTACATTGACTCTGAAGCTTACGTGAAGCCAATATTCTCTGTAATTTACAGCTAGATAACTCTTTTCTCCCTCCTCTTCTTGCTCTAGCCTGTACTATTTTACCTGAAGCATTATTTTATTGACCTATAACTTTGCTAGCATTCAAGTTTGGCTTGTAAAGAGCGCAGTAGTATGTAGAACATCTGCTGAGGAAAGAGAATGGGGGGGAGTGGTTTCCCATCTCACTGCTTGCCTCTTGCGGCCTGCTCTTACCCTTTAGAACTCCTGCCTGCAAAAGGTTCCCCTCCTTGCAAGACCAGGCCTGCTTTTCCTGCAAGTCCCTTGTTTTGCAGCCTTTGGTCTTCTTCTCCCCACTCCATAGATGGCTTCAGCTTCTGGGAGAAAGGGATAACGATGGAGTCGCTGAGGTGGTGCTCGCCTCTGAATGGGGCAGCATCCAATTGGGAAGTTAGTAGAATGTGGAGATAATAATTGTCTGTGTATGCGTGCCATCAAGTAAATTAATGAGCCAGAGGGTCCAATTGAATTATGTTTATATTGAAAAGGACATCTTTTTAAATGCTTACATTCATTTTAAATCTGTGTTTGTGCTATGTTACTCCCCTAAACATGTTACCAGAATGAAGGGGGAAAATCTAGTCTATTATTTGCTCTTTTTTTTGGCCTCCATCTTGCTGCTGTTCTGAGCTTTGGAGAACAGGGGGAAAGCTGCAAGATCCTGTCCTCATCCACACTACTGAAAACCTGGTTGCCTTTGCTCCCTCCCTCTCATGAGGCTGTCCACAAAGAGGTTTTATTTTTAATTTTCCCAACTGTCTTTGCACCCATGATGCCAATATCGCATCCCACAAGGCGCAAGACTGAACAAGACTAAAACTGGTGTCAACAGAGCCAAAGAAACTTGCTTTCCAGGGAATGCGCCCCAGTGCGTGCCTTGTGCAGGGGGAAAGTGAGGTTAGAGAGAGAGAGAAAAAATGCAAGAATATTAAAATAAATGTAAACATTTTTGCAGTAAAGAGACATAAGAACTGATGCCTTGGAGCTGATCTATTTATTACATTAACTGTATATTTCGTCCTCTTCCAAGAAGCTCGAGGTTTATAATTCTTCCCTATTTTTGCTCTCCAAACAACTCCAAGATAGCGATACTGACTGGATGAAAAATTACAGGCAAACCTATTGGCCCAAAACAGACGTAGCGAAAGAAAAGCCCAAAATAGAGTAAGACCATTTTCCCAAAAATGAGACCTAACCTGAAAATTAGCCCTAGTATGATTTTCCAGAATGCTTGTAATATAAACCCTACCCCAAAAATAAGCCCCAGTTAAGTGAAACCCCCACCCTCCACCCTTGTGCAGCAACCAGAAGAAGATGACATGACTGCAAAATAAAACATCTCCTGAAAATAAGCCATAATGTGTTTTTTTGGAGCAAAATTAATATAAGACCCTGTCTTATTTCTGGTGGAACACTGTATTTTTATTTGAATTAATTACATTGTGTGTGTGTGTGGGAGGAGGGAGAGATTGTTATGCTCTGGATGTTTTCAAACAGCAACTCCCAACTGCCTTAGCCAGCACAGCACATGGTAAAGGAATCATATACCCCTTTCTCTCAGCTAAAGCTCTGGTTGCACACCATGGGCTTTTATGCTTGATGTTCCCTATGCCAAAATATACCAATAATGGTTTTGCAGCCTGCAAAGAGCCACGAGCCTCTCTAAATATTAACACCTCTGCCACGGGGAGAATGTCCACATACGGATACTGCTACATCAATACAGTATTTACTCTTTCAACTTGATGTCATTGCAGCAGATCCCACCATGAAACTTGTGTTGGTTTTTTACTTATCACAGATCTTTTTTTTTTTAAGAGTGGAGGGGAACTAGGGGGAAATTATCCCACAAAACTATCTCCAGGACAGCTGATTATGAGTAAGACACTTTTTAAATCAAAACAATCTAAGAATAGCTTCGTTTTTTCCCCTGTGCCTTTAGAGTGAGATGGGAAAGTCTTTTCTATAAAATAAGAGATATTTTGTTAAATGTGTGCATCTCCAATTGCTGTCTAAAACAGGACTACAGTAGTACAAAATAATAATCTGGCAATCCATCATGAACAGGTGAGCTAGTAATTCCTCTAAAGAGTTGAGCAATAGGTCCCCAACATCCAGCATTGCAGTGAGTGATTCTACAGTAATTGCAGATTTAGCTCTGGTTGGAGATTACAGAAGTGAGAATAAGAGTGGTGGAATGTGTAATTCAGTAATTGGTTTCTCTAATTGAGTAACAATGTTTCAATGGACTAAAAAAAGTGTATTGACGAAGGAGGCAGACAGATGTTTTAAAAAATGTTGCATGTGATAAAAAGAACTGTAGATAGAATTTTGAGCTCAATTCCCCTTCATCTTTCCCACAGGAGCTGGTGGGAATCTCTCTTCTGTTGTTGGTGTAGCCCTCATTGACCTGCCCCCGCCGCATCACTCCCGATGGTTTTGCTGCCAGAAGTCTGGACCATCTCAACAAACAGGTGTGCCATTCATTCCACGTCGTGGTTGGTTTGTTTGTTTTTTTAAACTGCGTGCAATGGCCAAAAACGAGGGCTCTTCAACAAAGGACAGATGCTCACTCCACAACACATCTTACGGTGTCCGAATTTCCCGCAAGGGACAGGACATTCATGCACAGGGCGGCAACTTAGAGAAGTGCTTTTCTGTCCAAGTGCACGCGCAAATGTGACACACACGCACACACACACAGAGAAACGCAGCGCTGCGCGCACCCTGGCGCGTCCCCGGGCGAAAACGTGCGGACGGGCGGCCCGCCTTCCCTGCCCCTCCAGAAGCGTTGCACCGCAAACTTGTTGAGGAGGGGGAAAAATTGATCCTTTGAAATAGTGCAACGCTCTGACACGAAGGACGAAAGCACGGAAAGGCGCCTTTCTTTCTTTCTTTCTTTCTTTCTTTCTTTCTTTCCCTGCCGCGCCCACGCGCCTCTTGCTAGAAAAGCGTCCAAATGGGGGGCGGAGGGGGGGGTGACTCACGAGGAAACGCGTTTAGGAGTGCACGGCGGTAGTGCCTGCTCCGCCTGGCCAGAGGTTACAATATGCTGGCAAAGCCTTTAGGAACCCAGGATCACTTCTGTGCCATAATGAGGTGGTGAAGTACAAAGGGAGAGGGATAGGATTGCAGCTTGAAGGAAATGGCTGAAGAGATCACAGAACCACTGTCTCTTATTTTCTTCAAATCATGGAGGATGGGTCAAGTACCAGATCATTGGAGGAGAGCTAACATTGTCCCAATCTCCAAAAAGGGCAAAAGAGAAGGAACCCGGGAATTACAAATTGGTCAGTGTGAATCCCAGCGAAAATTCTGGAGCAGATTATAAAGCAGCCACTCTGCAAGCACCTCAGAAATGATGCAGTAATAACTGGAAGCCAACATGAATTTGTCAAGAATAAATCCTGCCAGACTAATCTGATTTCATTCTTTGTTTGGATAGCCTCCCTGGTAGACGTTGGGAGGGCAGTAGATGTAATATATCTTGACCTCAGCAAAGCCTTTGACAAAGTGCCCCATAACAGAACAAGTGTCAGGTGGATACACAGTTGGTTACAGAATCATACTCGGAGAGTGCTTATCAATGGCTCCTTCTCAAACTGAGAGACGGTAACACGTCGGGTGCCACAAGGGCGGGGCTCCCGAGTGCGGCCCTTCCGCCCCCCGGGAGACGAGCTACCCTCCTGCCCGGTCATAAGCGCCCCGACGCCCTCTTTCCTCTCCTCTCTTTCGGAAAAAAAAGAAGAGAGAAACGGGTCCCCAGAGGCGGAGGCGCTTTCCCTTCCCCTGTAGACTAGGGACGGGGTTCCAAGCCAGAGCAGAGGCAGCCCCTTTTTTTGGGGGGGGGGCAGCTGAGCTGCTTTCTCAAAGGGACCTTCTTTTTTAAAAAAATGTTTCTGTGCTTATTGATCTTTGCCTTCGCACCGCCTATGAATGGGTGCAAGGCGCCCCCTTCTTCCTTCTTTCTGATTTTTACCTGTCGCTTTGTGATACCATCCTCATGGTTTGCAGCTTTATACTGTATGTTGGCTTTTATTGTTGTGAGCCGGCTTGGGTCCTTTGCATGGAGAAAGGCGGGGTAAAAACATTTCAAATAAATGCACAATGAATTTATTGCCTGGGAGAGCTAAAGGGGGACCTGCTGCGCTTTTTTGGGACAAAGGAGGAGCGAAAGTGGCTACCTTCACCCCTTGCCTTGCTAACTTTTATTTTCATTTTTAAAAGCATCTCTTAGGTCACTGGGAGGAACAGGATGTTGCTTGAGAGGGAGCTTAGGCATGATGCAGGAAAAGTTCAACATTTCTAATGATGTACCTTGTTTGCTCTTACATCATGATTCCACTGGTCTTCTACTTCAGGAAGTATGAGGTCCATATATACTGTGCATTGGTTCAGATATTCTAGAACCTTGGGTCCTTTTCAAGGAGAAAGGCAGGCTAAACATATTTTAAATAAACAAATAAAATAGAGTTGAGGCTATTTGCATACACTGTAGGAAATAACACTTGACACTCCTAATAAGATTGCTTCTGATCCTGTATCTCAAGTCAGACAGCTGACTGGATATTGGTGGACAAGCAGGGGTATTAGGTTTTTTTGTCTGTTTGTAACTTTTTTTAAAAGATGACTTTGTATGGCTGCAGTGGGAAACAAACTGCTAATCAGACTTGACCTTTTTCTTTGATCAAGTTCTTCTGTTAAGTTAAAACAAAGCCCCTGGGAAAAAACATTTCATTCTTTGTGTAAAGATGATAGCAAGAACTTCCCAACTCCCATCACAAACCATAAAACAAACCAATATTGGTATTTATCCTAGAAGAATCACCACATGAGATTATGCTACCAGATCTGTATGTTTAAAAAGCTAATAAGCTTTTATAGGTATAATGTAATGAACAGTGGTAGATGTTGACAGTGGGGCCTGTATGACTGGGTGCGTAATGCAATATTGCAATGTAGGAAGGGAAATTCTTCAATATGATTTATTTATTTATTTATCAAATTTATACCCCACCCATCTACACACATGTCTACTCTGGGCAGCTAACAGTAATAGAATAAAAAAAATAAAATAAAAAACAACAGTAGTAAAATAGTTCAAGATGGGGAAAAATATTCAAGTGATGACAAGAGGGAAAGCCTGCCTAAAGAGCCAGGTCTTAAGTTTGCTCTTAAAATGACCCAGTGAGGGAGCCAGACCAGATCTCTCGGGGCAGACTGTTCCAAAGGCGAGGGGCCACTGCCGATAAGGCCCAGTTTCTTGTTCTTTCTCTCCGGGCCTCCCTCGGCGTTAGGCCCCTCAGCCGGCCTTCTTGGCTAGAACAAATGATTTGGGTAGATCTAGGTGGGAGGAGGCGTTCCGCTAGATATCTAGGTCCTAAACTGTTTAGGGTTTTATATGTCATCATTAACACTTTGAAATAAATGTGGAAGTGAATGGGAAGCCAAGGCAAGGCAGCCAGAGTGGGGGAGATATGTTGATGTTTTCTCACCCCAGTAAGAAGTCTGGCCGCTGCATTCTGCACCATTTGAAGCTTCCGCATCAATCTCAAAGGTAGCCCCACATAGAGCGCATTACAGTGGTCTAATATCAAGACTCCAACCGCATGGACCAGAGTTAGGGATGCAGCTGGGCAATCTGCCACAGATGGAAATAGGCAGAGCAGACCACTGATGCCACCTGGTTTCCATGGTGAGCGCCTGATCCAGATGGATCCCCAAGGTGTGAATCTCACTCTTTGTGGTGAGAGTCACTCCCTCAAAAGAGACGGAGTTTCCCAAACCACCAGTGGAGGGGCACCCACCCTCAGGACCTCCATCTTGTCTGGGTTCAGCCTCAGTCCATTCTCCTGCATGCATTGAAGTACAGCCTCCAGGCAGCGCTGAAGGGACGGAACGGCATCTGCTGTGGTTGGAGAAAAGGAGAGCTCGACTGGCAGCCCTCACCTTAGTAAGGTAATGGTTAGTCGTGATCCTGACAGCTTTCCGATTATATTCCATTGGGTTCCGTCTCCAAATGCACTCTAGCCTTCTCCTGTTTTGCTTCATAGCTCGCAGCTCCTGGTTAAATCAGGGCGCTGGACGAGCTCTGCAATGGGGAGGTTGTGTAGGAGCGATCATGTCAACAGCCCTGGTGGCGACAGCAAGCCAGCCATCAACCAGAGCCTCAACAGGAGCACCAGTCAGATCAGCCGGAATCCCTTTCATGGAGTGCTGGAATCCTATAGGATACAGTAGCCTTCGAGGGCAGACCATTAAAATAGGTCTTTGCTCCCTGTAGGGAGGGAGCGCCACTGAGAGGTTACATTTTATTAGGTGGTGATCTGACCATGACAAAGGGACTGAGACAAGGTCAGTCACCATCAGACCACACTCGCTCCGCTCGGTGGAGAACACCTGGTCTAGTGTGTGACCGCCCACATGGGTGGGGCCATTAACATGTTGGGACATGTCGAAGGAAGCCATGGTTTCCAAGAACTCAAGAGCCGGACCAGAGATCTCCGCCTCCGCATGGATGTTGAAATCACCCAAGACCAGAACCCTTGGGGATTCCAACAGTGCCGTGAAGGCAAAGTCCGCCAGCTCCGGTAAGGAAATGGCTGAGTTGTGGGGAGTGCGGTAACCCAGCAAGATCCCAATACCATCCCTGGCCCCAATCGACACATGGAGGGCCTCCAGACCCGGCTTTACCACCGTAGAGCACCTAACAACCTTCAGAGTGTTTCTATAAACAATGGCTACTCCCCCCCCTGCCCCTCCAGTCTACCCTGGTGCTGGACTGCATAACTGGGAGGACAAGCAAGAGTTAAGGGAACAGTGCCAGAACAGTGAACAGCCTTCAAACATCTGTTCACCGTTCTTCTGAAATGAGTAAGAACTGTGCCATTGCCATACCACCCTCTAACCGTAATCACTCAGATGTTCAAAGGAACACCGTGGGGGAGGGGGCAAGCCTTCCACTCCATGTCAAACAAAAGAAAAAGAAAAGGCCAAAAATATACCAAATTAATAAAAGTAAACAATACAGTGGTAACAAGGTTAACAAAATTAATCCAAACCATACATAAAAATACACATTTAAATTAAACAATAATCAAATTAAGCAATTTAAAAGTTAAAACTTTAAAAAGAAAGGGAATAAAATACAAGAAGGTCCAGACCTAGTTGTAATTGTCATAGGTGCAGGAAACCTTGAAATAGGCCAACAGCTGCTTAAAATCATTGTGGCCAAAAGCCAAGCCCCCTTGACATTTAGTCCAGTCGTGTCTGATTCTAGGGCGCAGTGCTCATCCCCGTTTCCAAGTCGGAGAGCCAGTGTTTCTCCGTAGACACTTTCCATGGTCATGTGGCCAGTGCGATTAGACACAGAGCACCATTACCTTCCCACCGTGGTGGTACCTATTTATCTACTCACATTTTTACATGCTTTCGAACGGTGAGGTTGGCAGGAGCTGGGACAAACTCACTCCAT